TAGCTTGTATTCCACTATTTGCATTCACACCTGGGCTGTGTATATATATATTGTCTTGGTTTGGCTCTATAATCATTAGTGGTCGTGGGACTTTTGGGCCCTACCTAAGCTGGTCGAACGTTTCGTTTGGGTCTGTACCCTAGCTGCACTGATGAGGCCTGGAAGGCCGAAACGGATCCGTCTGCAGATATTGGGATTCCGTCCAGTGGATGCTTAGTTTATTTTGTCATTCAGATCGGATTTTCTCTACTGTTCCGTTTTAATTTTAATTTTAAATTGTTATTATTTGGCCGTTTGCTTTTTTATGGGTTTTTCCCATTTGATAGTAATGTCAGCCTATGTAGACTTTAAAACAAACTACGAAAGCGAAGAAAATGTAATTTTTTGGTCCGATGACATTGTTGTAAGGCTATTGGAGAATAAATCAAGTCGACTGTGTTTCTGCTTACGTTGAGTGGCTCGAAGAAAAGCTTTGTGCTTTTGTTCCTCACGCACTCGTGCAAGTCTCTTTGCCTCTGCTGCTGCTTGTTGACGCGTTTTCTAAAAAAGAAAAAAAAAAGGCCTATGTATATTATGTGTTTAGTTTAATCGGGACATCTTTGCCTAATGTCTGTCCTTGAAACTTCTAGGAAGTCAATATTAAAGTTACACAAGAAAAAAAGCATTGAAAATAATAATGGATCGTAGAATTCATTGAATCCATGTGATAATCCTAATCGATCTGATCGATTTTATCAATACATTGCAGAAAATTAGTTATATTGATCTAATTCATGGTGATCATGGTAATAAATTGTCATGGTCAACTTACATCTTCGATGACATCTAGGACTTGTTTAATGTATGAGAAGCTATGCCTGAAACCACCGCCAACTCGCACGAACTTATGCTAAAAAATTAAGGATAACAATTATTTATACAATTATTAAAAGCATTCAGATGGGCCTAAATTTTGTTTATTTTCATTGGTTCATTTAATGTATTTTTAGTTTTTATCATCCATTATTTTATCAAACCGTATTTTGTATAAATGCATAGGAATCGGCCATTTAGCCAAATGTTACCTGACTCTGTGTTTAACTAAGAAACAACGACGATGTATTTTCACAATGTGTCTCTATATCATTAGTGTTGTGGGTACCGTCGAATATTTATACTTAATTAACTAATTGAAAACTCCGGCAATACAAATTCATTAGAAGATTGAAAATTGTTAGTATAATTAGGGGCTTAATAAGTTACAAATATAGGCATATACACACGTTCAATAAATTACACATTATTTTATGGTAAACGTTATATCAAAAACGTGTTGCCGCAGTATAAAAATAGTTGCCGCAGTATATATGCCTTAAAGGATATGAATCCAAATGAAACATTTATAAGTGTCCATGAGACGTCACGTATCCCACAACAACTTTGCCTCAACGAACGTCTCTTTTGGAATGGAGACAACAATGATTGGGAACAAATACTATTGACTTTAAGTGCAACTACAGTATTGAGGATAACTCAAGTTTATTTAAGTTTTAATGTCTTAGATATGTCAATTCACCCTTTCACATGCTGCATGATCTGTTTTGAGTTGACATCGAAAACAATCTTCTGGACCAAGGCTCTGATGAAAAAAAAAAATAAATCGATTGGTAAACAGGAGTTGTAAATTGTGAAATACAAAAGTGTTACATGATTGTATACAGCAAGGTTAAACTGGCTAATATTGATGTTATGTTTCTGAATCTTGGCATATCTCCAAATGATGACACATGAAATAAGCGCAGCCAATGATGACCTACATTTTTGCTTAATATGGGAATCATTGCATGCACCTTGTCACTAAACTGTCATCATTATCATCATCATCATTATATTCCTTATCATCTTCCTTACTATCATCACCATCATCACCCATCATCATTACTATCATCATCATCGTCATCATCATCAACAACATCATCATCATTACCATCATCAAATTATTGGTATCAATATTATTGTCATTGTCACTGTCACTGTAACTCATGTCACTGCCACTGACATTGCCAACTATCACTGTTATATCATCATTATTGATAGATATCATTATTGTTTATCATAATAAAAACGCTCACATATATCACCGGTCCTTTATGATTTACATTGGCTTCGTATTGAATCTCAATCAATAAAATCAAATATAAAAAATCCTGTTATTAACGTTCAAAGCACTTTTTCACAAACAACCCATTTACCTTGTTGATCTCATTCATGCTTATGTCCTACCTACTTGCCTCCGTTCTTCAGATAAAAATCTTTTAGTTGTTCCTCGAATTAACACCAAAACATTTGGTTATAGATCATATTTATTTTCTGTTGCATCCCTTTGGAATTCATTGCCCAAACATATTATCGAATCACCATCAGTTGTTGTTTTAAAGACTAAACTTAAGACGTACCTTTTAACCATCTAACTGATAAGCGCCTTTGATTTTTACTTCGGTATAGTTGAAATTGGCGCTATATACATTTTTGTTATTATTATTATTATTATTATTATTATTATTATTATTATTATTATTATTATTATTATTATTATTATTATTATTATTATTATTATTATTATTATTATTATAATAATATCATTTATTGCGGTTCTCAATTTATATACAACTATTATAAAAGTATTTTATCATATTAATACTATCTCATAATGGGTTGGGAATTTAAAGAGACTTACGTTGTTTTTCTTTTCAAACCTGGGCCTGTCTTTGGGCGCTCTTGTTTCTATTGGTGGAGACGACACGAAGCTGATATACCGGGTCACCTGTTCACCACGTGAACTCTGAAAAAATTACATATTATTACATATAATAATTATATACATATATATATATATATATATATATATATATATATATATATATATAGACATATATACATG